GTGAAAAGGCCAGACACAAAACACCACTTATTGTATCATGTACTGCATGAAATGCCCAGCGTAGGCAGGTGCACTGAGACAGCAGTAGACTGGGGGCTGCTAGGAACGGGGGGAGGGAACATGGGAAGCGATTGCTCATGGGTGTGGGGTTTCTTCTAGGGCCAACGAGAATGTGGTGCGATTGGATGGTGGTGGCGGCTGTACAACTTTGTGGCTATACTAAAATCCACTGCATTTTACACTTTGAAAGAGTGACTTTTATGATAGGTGAATTATATCTCAATTTTTAAAAATGTTAAGCACTTTTGCATGTGTTAGGCACTAGGGATTCGACAGTGAGTAAGACACGCACCCGACCCTCAGAGAACACAAAGTCCGTGGGCGAGGGGCTTAGGCGAACCCAGCAGTCACACATGAAGTGGGATCGCTCCTAAAGGAAGTGCCTCGGAGGAGCCAGGTGCGGCACTATGAGAACATATTGCCATTCGGGGAACTGAATGGGAGGTGAATGAGGCACATACAAGGGGGAGGGGGGGCAGTCTGCAGCTGGAAAAGTAGATACAGGCCAACTGTATTGGATCTTCTAAGACAGTAAGAAGCGCTCAATGATGGAAATGACCTTCCTCCTCCCTGGCTCCCCCTCCTCCATGGTGCCTATGTCAGTAAAAGCACCGCCCTCCACCCAGTTGCTTAGGTCACAAAACTGGAGCCATTCCAGGCTCGTCTCCCAGCCTCACCTTTCACATCCAACCTGTGGTTCCTACGGTTCAAGACCTCTGGTCTCCATCCGCTACCCAGGTCATCATCAGCTCCCACCTGGATTCCTGCAGCCCTTTCAGCCTGCCCTTTTGATTCCACCTGTGCTCATGATCCCACCATCCAGGCAGAACGATCTACTGGAAACCCAGAGCTGCTCAGGTCACTGCCCTTGAAAGCGTCCCATGGCGGTTGGGGAGCATGTCCAGGGTTCACCTACTGCCCCAGCCTCCCTCCAGCCTCCTTCCTATATGCTTTTGCCTTGGTGACCTCTTCTTGCCTGTTAATACCCCATGTTCTCTCCTACCTTAAGTTCCTCTTGGGCATAGAACATTCCCTTGCCCTGGCCTACCTAATCATTCAGATTTTCACTTAATGGTGACTTCCTTAGGGAAAGCTCCTTGCCTGACTCCAGCAATAGGTCCCTTTGCTGTGTGACTTATATAACATCCGAATTTCCCTTTGATAAAACTCATCACAGTGTGTCTGCTTCCACAGTGGGTCTGTTATGGGCCAGAGGGCAGGGACCTGTGCCTACCTTCCTCACCACTATCCTCCCACAAGTAACAGAACCCGCCACCCACTGTGCCCCCTGGCTGACAAATTCCTACCCATCCTTCACATCTCACTCACCAGTGACTTTCAGGGGAACAGCCTTCTCTGAGCACCCAGACCTGGGGGACCGTTCCTTTAGGTAGCCCCACAGCTCCCTGGACATCCCTTATAGCACTTAGCACAATTGTACAAGCCACTGATTCTACTGTCTCCCCCTTTAGACCCTCTATTTTGTTTCTCTTTGCCCCAGCACCTAAAACAATGCCCATCACAAGACTGGCCTCAGGTGCGACCACAGGAATTCTCATGAAAATCCCTAAAATTGCAAACAAAAGTCTATGTGCATGCACATTTAGTCCAAGGCTTTTGTTGGGAGTTTCATGGTCTAAGACCTGAAAGAGGTTAAGAACCTCCCCAGGAGCTGAAGGAGCTTGTCTTTCCTTCAAAATAGCACTGCCAGCCCAGACTCCTACTATATGAACCATCCCCACTAGAATATGAGTTTCTATAGGTCAAGGACCTTTCTCTCTTTTGTTCATTAATGTGTCCCAAATGCCTGGAACGGTGCCTGACCCATCCTCAGTGCAGGTGTAGAATGACATAGTCTGACAATTGTAACAGCTGTGAGATCCATACATGGATTGGTTACTTACTGCTGCATAGCAAATTACCCCAAAATGTAATAGCTTGACATTTATGATCTTAGTTTCCCTGGGGCAGGCGTCACGGTGCAGCTTCGATGGGTCCTCTGCTCCAGGGTGGCTCACGAGGCTGTGAAGTATGGGCCAGGGCTGTGGGCACCTGAAAGCTTGACTGGACAAGGATCTGCTCCCAAGCTCACCCATGTGGCCGCTACCAGCATTCGGTTCCTTCCTGGCTGGAGCCTGCCCTCCATTCCCTACCACATGGGCCTCTTCGCAGGGCAGCTGACCAGATGGAAACTTGTTTCATCAGGGTAAGCAAGCGGGGGGGGGGGACACACAAGATGGCCATTACAATCTTCTGTACCTTAACTTCAGAGGTGGCATCCCATCACCTTTGCTGTGTTGTCAGGAGCAAGTCCCTAGGTCTCGGGCACACTCAAAGGCAAGGGCAGGGAGTTATTCGAGGGATGGCAGCAGCAGGCAGGAGACTGAGGGCCATCTTAGAGACTGCCTCCAGCACATTTCCTCATATGGCGTCCAGCTCATCCACTCACCCAGAGCAGAAGGCACAGACCAAATGCCCAGGCCAAGCAGACGGTGACGAGGGAAGTGAGCGGAGGGAGGTGTGGTGGACAGCCGAACCTCTGCCCCATTCTCCAGCAGGTGTTTGTGAGACATTTCCCGATTTCCCAAGCTGTGATAATCTATCAAAAGCACATCTGAGGTCAGGCCGGGCGTGGCTCAGCGGTTGAGCATCAACCTAGGATCCAAGCAATCGGGGTTCAATTCCCGGTCAGGGCACATACCTGGGTTGCAGGCTAGCCGATCAATGACTCTCTCATCATTGATGTTTCTGTCTCTCTCTCTCCCTCTCCTTTCCTCTGTCTGAAATCAATAAAGATATATTTGGGGAAAAAAGAAAAACACACATCTGAGGATCGTTTTTGTCTCTTCTCTATGGCGCAAAGGGCCTAAGCCGTTATAATACCCTTTGCATGTCTGTTCCATCTCTCCTGCACCCAGCCTCCCACCCCCTGCCCTCACTCACTGAGGGCAGAGACCTAGCTGGCTCACTTTGGGCACTTTCTGCATTTCTTTGCATGTAACAGGCCAATAATAAATAGTTGAATGAAATGTGAAATTGCTGTCTCATTGAGAAGCAACCCCCCTCTCCCAATCCCAGAGGACTGGTTAGAAGTGGGTGCTGGTGACTGAGTAAGTTGGAATCCTGGCTCTGCTACTTGCTTGCTGTGTGCCTTTCAGCGAGTTACTAACTTTCCAGAGCCTCAGCTTCTTCATCTATAAAATGAGAATCATCATACCCGCCTCACAGCTGTTATAAGGATTAACCGTAACAAATATACTTATTAGCACGCTGTAGCAACTCAGTAGCTGTTCTTACTCACATCGTCCCTTCCTCCCTCACCGGCTCCCTGGCACGGCTCCCCCTAATCCGTTAAACCGTCATCTACCACTATGCACCTAGCTGGCAGCTAGAGGGAGCCTCTAAAATGAGAAACGTCATGTTCACTGCCAGGGTTTACATCCTTCAACAGTTTGCTGATCCCCTTAGTAAGAGAAAATCCGAACCCTTTAACAGCTCACCAGACTCTTTTGGACCTGCGCCTGCCCAGCCTCCAAGTCTCATCTCTCACCACCACTTCCCTGCACGCTCAGCACTCAGGCACACTGGGGGTTTCCTGAACCCTTGACACTTTCTGCCACTTCAAAGCAAGTGCTCTTCTCTCCACAACTACCGCCCCTTCTAGATGTTCCAGCTACGCGCTCAGAGAATTTCTGATGTTCCTTGCTAAATCTGAAGCAGGTACAGCAGCAATTTTCTTCACCTCCCAGCACAATGCTGGCATAGACCAAGCAAATAATGCACAACTGTAGAATTGTCAGACAGCGCCACCTGTTGACCAAACTTGCACTTCAGTACCTAGAAAGGAGCCTTAGCCCTCTGCCCACTACTAATGTAGATGGACAATGGTGTTGAAGTTTTGCAGGGGTCTATCCAGTGTCTCCTCACACAAAACTTAGCAATTAAAAAAAAAGAACTAAAATTATTGAATACTTAATGTGAGAGAGCCAGGCACTCTCCTAAATGCATTAGTTACTAACACATTTAATTTTTACAGCCACTCAATGAGTTAGATACTTTTATTGCCATTTTGTGGATGAGGCCGAGGCACGGGGCAGTTAAGTGCCTCACCCAATTTCACACTGCTAGAAAATGTCACCTCAGGCAGTCTGGCTTGAACCTGCACCTTTTAAGCCTGAAACTCACTGCCTCTATCTTGTTTCCTTCACTCCATGCCCAGTGACCTGGTGAGGTTCCATCCCAGACACCTCCCTCTACCGTGAAGGCCCACTGTGAAGGTACTATCACAGTGGCATTGGTGTCAACCGAGATTCCATGTGGAGGGAGTGTCCCACACATTCTGAAAGCCGCACAACTCTCCAAGAGCCCTCTTTAGGGCAGGAATTAGATGAGTGGCAGCCACTCCTCGGTGAGACAGCAAACACAGCAGTCAGCCCAGCCTCCATGTTACTGCTATACTGGTGACCTCCAGCAAGCACTGCTCCTCTGAGTCTCCAGCACCTAAGAGGACCCTTAGCCCAGCTGAGCTCAATGGATGGATAGTGCATGAAATGAGGAGTACAGTCCCTGATTCAGGGGGGCGCTGAATGGTGGTGATCCCTCAGTCCTGTCTGAATCACTCACGTCACACATGAAGCTGGGTTCCTTCACATGCTCAGTATCGCCATGTAGAACCAAAAGGTTGGCTGCTTCCTTCTTAAATCCAATCTACTTCTCATTGGTTCCTCTATAAATATTTTTCTATATCATTTGTGCAAATGCCTGCCTTCACTTGTTATTTAAATATATATTTATCCTATCAATAATTACTTATTTTATTATTTTATAATTATTTTTATTAATAATTGAATTATATATTTAATATAAATGTAAATGTATTATTTTACAAATTATAAATATTAAATATATTTATACATAATATATGACAGCATATATATTATGTTATTTAAATTTGTATATTTAAGTATATAATATATATAGCCATATATATGGCTAATATTTATTACTTCCTATGCCCCAGTCATTATTCTAAACACTTCACACATTTAAATCATTTAATTTTCACAACAGCCCTATGATTATCCCCATTTTACAATGAGGAAGCAAACACACAGTGAAATGGCATGTTCAGGGTCATAAATCAAGTGGCTGACTGGGATTGCAAACCTGTCATTAGACCAGCCTATACTTTTAAACACTGCCTGAGGCTCCCTCTGCTGGTAGAGGCTGTGTCTGCTGCCTTTACTCTGATGTGCCAGGCACAATGCTTTGCACACAGTAGGTGTCAACAAACTTTTTTAATATATGTATATATACATATACACACACATACACACACACACACACACACACAGAGTCACATTCCAGTGTGACAGATGCCCATTCTTCGACTGGGAGAGAGCCCCCAGGTTCCAGGCTCCCGGAGACTCTCCAGAGACAGCCTAGGCCTGGCAGTCTGCACAGATGACACCCAACAGTGGCACTTTAATTAGACAAGTGGGAGGGGGCAGGGTGCACCTTGGGGTGGATTCTGTCCAGGGCCTCACGCAGGCCCAGAGCTCTGCTGCATCCTCTTCATCAGCTCTTCATCCTGCATGGACAACTCTGTCAACTTTTTGCCCATCCGCTCATGGATGTCCAGGTACTTGGAGACACACCGGTCCAGGCACACAGACTCGCCCTTGGACAGTTCTGCTTCTTTGTAGTGGGGAGGCACGCACTTCCGGTGGCAGGCACTTGTCATTCTGGGGGGAAGGGAGGGCAAGGTCAGGTCAGCAGCACCGTGTGGCATACCAGGAACTCTCAACCATTCCTGACCTGCTACACTGATTTCACCTCCCAGGCAGGCAGTGTAAACCCTCAGTTTGCACTTAAACTATCTTAAAAGGTCCTTGAGAATAGGAACCTTGCCTGAGCCCAGGTTTATAACTAATTAAATAGAAACCATTAGCTGAGTACTGGTTTATGTTCCAGGCATCATGCTAAGTGCCTGACATGATTTTTATGCAGTTCTTATGATAACCCCATGAGTTAGGCATGATCATTATTCCCATTTTACAGATGAGGGAAATAAGGCACAGGGCACCTCAGTTCCACCCAGAGCTGAGGTATGAACCCAGGTAGTCTGACTTCACAGCCTGCTTAAAAAAATTATTTTAACATAGCCTCCAACATAAACCAGCCAATTAAGAGAGGATACCAGAGAGCTTAAGCCAATAAAAATAGCAGACGTTTGTTGACTGCTTACTATGTGTTGGGCTTGAAGCTAAGAGCTTTGTCATACATTTTAACATTTAATATATATTTTTTAAAGGTTTGTTTTTATTGATTTTTAGAGAGAGAGAAAGGGAGGGAGAGAAACACCAATGTGAGAGTGAAACATCAATCGCTCATTTAACATTTATAATGTGTCTGTGAAGCACGTATTAGTATTACCTCCACTTGATAGGTGGGGAAACCACTGGTCAAACAGTCCAAGTAGCTTGCCCAAGACCATACCAGTGGTGACTGGTGGAGCTATGAAATGTTTTCAGATTTGCCAAATTATTGGACCTGCCATTGCTATTGACCAGTTGTGGACCCCAACAAAGTTATTTAACTCTGGAACTTCACTGTCCTCACAGTAAAATTAACCCAGTGGATTTTTTGTGTGTTTAATTTTCATTTATTGACTTTAGAGAGAGAGGAGGGGAGACAAAAAAAGAAACATCAATTTATTGTTCCACTTATTTATGCATTCATTGGTTGATTCTTGTATGTGCCCTGACTGGAGATCAAACCTGCAACCTTGGTATATCAGGACGACACTCTAACCAACTGAGCTACCCAGCCAGGGCAACCCAGAGGAGTACTGTGGAGATTAAAAAAGGTAATGCATGTAAAGCGCTTAGCAAGTGCCTGGGGTAGAATAAGAGTTTAAGGAATGTTAACTAAATGGGATATGTGTTACTTGTCAAAAGGCAAATGCTCAACTGTTCTTGGAACCTAACCAGAGCCTGAACTGGAGCTTCTCTCTTGCTTGGCTCCTTCCTAGCCAATTCCATCCAAGTCTAAATGCCCAACTCCTTCTAGTGACTCCATACTGAGTCTGCATTAGCCTTTAACAATTGGGGTGGAGGGAAATCGGTGTGCATGGGTGCAAGAGGAGGGTGACCACCAGCCTCAGACTACCCTAAATTGAGCAAAGCCTTATTCATAAGTCGTCCACCTCTACCCTCAGCAAGAGGGACCTAGGATATTCCCTAAGATAGAGTCGGCTCTTACCTGTTGTACATATCAGCCATCATTTCTACCTCCAGCTCCGCTGCCAGCTGCTGGGCTCTGAGCGGATCCATCTCAGCCCTGCACGGTGGAGATCTCCTTTCCGCCTCCTAGTCCTGGAAACAGACATCACCGTCAGCACCCACATCTCCCGTTCACTTTCCCATCCCAGGAGTTAAACTTTAACCATTAAAGGATGCCAAGGCATCAGAACCGACAGGGGCCACGGACCTGAGTTCAACCATCCCATTTCACAGATGTGGAAACTGAGGCCCGAAGGAGAACACTGCCTAGCCCAAGGTCACACAGCACGTCAAGAGCGGGGCTGGAAATCGAGCCCCGGGGCCTGTCGTTCAGTGCCTCTAGGTCACCTCTATCCAGTAGATCGAGAGACCGGAAGGGAACCCTCTAAACCGCAGGCCCGAATCTCTGGGGCCCTGGGAATTGGAATATATGCGGAATTAACGCGCCCAGGCCCAAGGGCTGCACCCCTGAAATGGCGGTGCCATCATCAGGGTCACCTTGAGGCCAGAGGTCACTCACCACGACCTGGAGCCGGTCACAAAGCCCCCGGCAGTCCCAACTTCAGGCAGGCGCTGGAAACTTAGCCAGTACCCAGGTAGGCAAAGGTGGAAACACGTGGGTCACTTCCGGGAGGAAGTCCCGCCTCCCTTTTGATCCGGGCTCGCCTTTGGAATGACGTACCCACGAGGCGGCGCTGGGAAAGCGGCTACCATAGAGAGGCATCTGGGGCCGCCGCTGAAGGCGAAGGCGACTTGCGAGTGCTAGAGAGGACGCCCGAATACCATAGAGGCTCGGGCGGAGTGCAGAGCGCCTGCAGCCGGGAGGTCAAGTCCCCGGCTTTGCGCGGAGAGACTTGAGTCTATTGGTTCTGTAGGAAGGGGCGGGGCCGCAGAGCTGGGGGAGCCTCGCCCCCCTCCCCGAGCGGGCGCGGGGGCGCGAACCGGCCCCGGGAGGAGGGGCGCCTCGGGCTGCGGTTCTGGGGGTGCCGCTTGCTGAGGTCGCCTGGGACGCTTTAAAAAGCCCAGGTGCGCAGGCCTCACCTCATACCAGCTGTATCAGAAGCTCTGGGAGTAGAAGCCAGGTGATGCCATAAGCCTTTAACTTCCCCAGGTGAATTAGATGGGCGTTAATGTGCGTTAGATGGCGTGCAGAAATCACTGTGGTTTTGAGGGTGTGGAAATGACACTGGAAAAAAGACTCAGAGCTAAATATAAATGAAGAAAATATGGCTAAATGTTAATAATCGTTAAGGCCTGGTGATCGGTATATGGAAGTTCAGTATACTGTGCTCCCCACTTTCCTGTACGTTGTAAATTTGCTGTAATAAAAGTCTAAAAATTAAAAAACGTAAGAACAATGATTTCTTTTTACTGAGCGTCTGCCATGGACTAGGTGCTTTAATTACATTGTCTATTTTGTTTTTCTTTTTTTGTAATGATTTTTAAAACGTTTGATTTTGAAATAATGATAGGTTTACAGGAAGTTGTATAAATGGTGCATAAGTTCCTTTGTGCAACCAAGTTTGGGAACCAGTGTTCCAGTGTGAATACGGCCGCGTGCCTACTGCGCACGAAGCTTTCTCTGGGTTTACAAAGATAAGGGAGGCATGGTTCCTGCTTGCGGAAAGCCGAGACATGTATACATTTGTTTTATTCTACTTCTGTTAACCGCGCTGGGCCATAGGTAGTGCCACTCTCATGTCTATCACACCCCCCAAAAATAAAACACCTCTTCGTCCCTTCTCGGCCACATTTCCTCTGTAGAACTTACCTTCATCTAATATATTCCATCTGTTGATTTGCTTACTGTCTGTCTCCCCACACTAAAATGTAAGCCCTGTGATCTGGTTTTCCCATTTTTTGTTGTGTTCACTGCTGTATCCCCAGACCATACAAAGTGTTCAAAAACCATTTGATTAATGAATACACAAAATTGTCTAAGAGAAGTCTTAATGGGTGATACAGTGATCTTCTATTTGGCTGTTTTCAATACCTAATGACAGTAGCGCAAAAAATGAAGTACCAACGAGGCGGCGCTGAGAGATATATGAAAAAGCTCACCAATCTTGGGCGGATAAACTCTGGACAGGTGAAGGAGACATCTTAGTGCTAGAGGCAGCCAGCAGCCATCAATAGTGAACTGTAAACATTGGTGCCCAAACCTCGCTTTGAGGTCATCCTAAGCACAGGCCCCCAATTCCAATTCCAAATTCCTGTTAACTAAGTAAGTAATTTGTGTATTCAATATACACCTACTGAGCACCTCACATGAACCAGGCAATTTGCTGGTTCCTGGGCATACAGCCATGAGCAGAGTACATGAAGTCCCTGCCTCATGCAGCTTGGAGTCTAGTGAGAGAGTCAGATAATACGGTAATTTTGGATCCCAATAAATAGTATGAAGAAACTAAAACAGGCTGAAACGATGGCGCAGAACTGAAGGCCATGGAGCCCTCTCTGAGGAAATGAAATTAGAGCTGAGAGCAGAGGAATGAGAAGGAGCTAGCCTTGCAAAGAGCAAAAGCAAAAAGGTTACAGTCCTGCGAGTGGCAAGGAATCGATTTATTTAAGGAACAGGAAGGAGGTCAGTGTGGCTGAAGTGGCGGGGATGGAGGGAGGGGGCTGGGGGAGTCACAAACTTCCTACATTGTGTGT